TATGTGTCAGGGTTGTATCCTTTCACGACATTTTTCAATCAGTATGTTGATCAGATACTCAGAAAAGCTGGATTGTATCAAAAAGAACACAGCATTAGGATAGGAGGAAGGCTCATTAACAACCTGAGATATGCAGATGACACAACCTTGCTTGCTGAGAGGAAGACTTGAAGCAACTTTTGAGGAACATCAAGCATCACAGACTCCAGTACGAACTACAAGTCAATATAAAGATAATAACAATTCTCACAACCAGATCAGTAAATAAACTCACAATACACACACACACAACGGATTGAAGCTATTGGTCTATCTAGATAAAATAATCTGGATAAACAATTTGGAGGAGAAAACAATGGGACTGATGGTTCTGGGGGAGCAGGGGGTGGGCAGAATGGGGGAGCGGGAGGTGGGGAAAAGGAAGTGGTATTAACAAACCCAGAGACAAGGGAACAACAAGTGATCCAAAAAAAGTGGTGAGGAGGGTGTAGGAGGCCTGGTAGGGCTTGATCAAGAGCAATGTAACCTAGAGGAATTACTGAAACCCAAATGAAGGCTGAGCATGATAGTGGGACAAGAGGAAAGTAAAAGGAAAGAGAGGAAAGTACTAGGAGGCAAGAGGCATTTATAGAGTTCTACATACAGGCATGTACATATGTAAATATATTTATCTATTATGTTGGGGAAATAGATCTACATGCATATATTTATAGGTTTAGTATTAAGGCAGCAGATGAACATTGGGCCTCCACTCAAGTACTTCCTCAATGCAACAACACTTTGTTCTATTAAGCTGGCATTCCATGATGTTCACCTTCCTGACACGATTGCTGAAGACAAAGTGGGTGCATAAGCAAATGTGGTGAAGAAAGCTGATGGTGCCCAACTATAAAAAGAAATAGCTACAAATATGGCTAGACCAGAGGATGTACACTGGTACAGACAGGAACTGGAAACACAGGGAATCCAGGGCGGATGATCCCTTCAGGACCAGTGCTGAGACTGGCGATACTGGGGAAGGCAGGGGTGGGAGTGGGGTGGTTGGAGGGGATGGGAGGTGGAGGGGGAACTGATTACAAGGATCGACATATTACCTCCTCCCTGGGGATTGGAAAACAGAAAAGTGAGTGAAGGGAGACGTCGGACAGTGTAAGACATGATAAAATAATAATTTATAAATTATCAAGGGTTCGTGAGGGAGGGGGAGCGGGGAGGGACGTGAAAAATGAGGAGCTCATACCAAGAGCTCAAATAGAAAGCAAATGTTTTGTGAATGATGATGGCCACAAATATACAAATGTGCTTGACACGATGGATGGATGGATGGATTGTGATGAGTTGCATGAGCCCCCAATAAAATGATTTTTTTAAAAAGATTGAAATGACCAAGGATCTCATTTCACCTGAATCAACAATCAACGCTCATAGATGCGACATTCAGGAGATCAAATTCAGTGCATGATCTCTTTAAAGCATTGAAAAGCAAGAATGTTACTTTCAGAACTAAAATGTGCTTGCCCAAATCATGCCATCTCCAATCACTTCATATGCATGTGGACGTTGGACATTGAATGGGGAAGCCCAATTGATGCATTATGATTATGGCGCTGGGAAAGAATGTTGAAAGTACCATGGACTGCAGAAAGAAAAACATATCTGTCTTGGAGGAAGAATAGCCCACGAGCTCTTTAGAGACAAGGATGATGAGACTGTATCACATCATTTGGACATTTTGTCAGGAGAGACCCATCCCTGGAGAAGGACATCGTGTTTGCTAATGTAGCAGTCCAGTGAAAAAGAGGAAAACTTTGACAAGACAAGATGGATTGACACAGGGGATTCATAGGTGAGTACAAACATGAGACCGCTTAAGAGGATGGCACAGGGCTGGTCAATATTTCCTTGCGTTGTGCATAGAATGACTATGAATTAGAACAGCCTTGCTGGCATCTAACAACAGTGAGTTTCTCCTTGTCTAGAGTCAACTGAATTTCTGTGTATTCGATCTTCATAGTCCACATCTTCAATCCTGTTTTAAAAAGTATTTGCAATGAAGAAGTAATTGGTCTTGCCAAATCCTGCCATGTGCTCTC